AGTTTCATAACTGGAGGTCAGTAAGCTAAAAGTCTCCCACCTATGCCTCTCTGTGTAGCATGGGCTTATATGATATTTGCCAGTTTCCCAGGGACTTGAAGGGAGTTATTTGACAAATGCGTGTCTTTTCCCACTAGCCTGCAAGGTATCAGAGTATGAGAAATGTATTGGTTTTATTACAGCATTACATCTCCACTATGCAGACAGTGACTGGCATCTGGTTCACACTCAAAAATAGTTCCTGAATAAATAACTGGATAGAGGCAGGCTTTCCCACAATGAGCTACTCAGAAACTACAGTCACTAAAATATAAATCTGGAAGGAGTCATGGGGGTTTATAGTTCCTTCTCTGCTCCCCTAAGAATAACTGAGGGATGCATGGATGTTGAAAGAGGGAGGGTGAGGTGAGAGCCTCATTCTGATAGCTCAATTCCAGGCAGTCTAGAAGATTCATTCTCTGATGCCTGGATGAAGGCAATGGGTTTAAGCCAAGAAGATCATTAGCAATTTGCATTTCTGCAAGCCACATCACTCTTGCATCTTGCAGAACTGAGAAACTTGCTTCTAACTGGTAAATTAAATATTGATAATGTAGATAGGCTGCACGACATCCTTCAGAAGACTGGCACCCTGATTTCCATGTTTCTAAAACTTCGGCCATTTGCATTCAACAACCACCAGTTTTGTCGTGACTCTGGGCAATCAGTAACAGTGTGTAGCTCATATTTACCTTGAAAGCAACTCATTTTTAACCCAAATGCAAGCATTTGCCAAGAAAACCTGGCATTGCCACTGTAAAGAGAAAACCAGTATCAGTAACTGCAATTAAAGTCTATGGAGGAAAAACAACTACTGAAATGTAACAATTATTAGAAATGTTTCCTATGCATACACTTGTGCTAAACACCCCACTGAATTCATTGCTTAACCTTTGCCCACATAGAGGCTGTGAGGCATCCCCCACAGGCTCAGGGGTTTGTATATTTGGCCCCCAGCTTCTGATGCTGTTCTTAGAGGAAGCGGAACCTTTAATAAATTGAACCTCGTTCCAAGATGTGCATTGCTAGTTGGCAGCACTTGAGAGTTACAGGACAGAGCCACTCTCTGCTGGAGAGCTGGCTGATTTTTGATACACCTAAATGTAACAACAAGTCACACAACAGGCTTTGCCACCACGCTTTGCCTGACACAATGGACTACATCCCCTGAATCATCAACCAAATTAATCCTTCCTTAAGTTGCTTCTGCCAAGCACTCAGTCATAGAGAAAAGTAATTAACACACAAGCACACCTGTGCACGTATGCATATACACACATTCACAGACAGATCTCATAAAATAGGTGCAATTATTGTCTCCAATAGACCACACAAGGAACTGAAAGTGCAGAGGATTTAGAAACTATGCACACATGCACAAGTGCACAAACCTTGCAAAGTTTAGAAGTCATTGCACTAGGCCTAGCTCTAGGCCCTAATTCTTGACTGCTATATTTCGCAAACAATGCGTTTGAAGTCAGCATAGATGCTCAGGCTGCTGCAGGCTTAAAGCCTGAGGCACACTCCCTTTCTGTTATAAAGAAAGCTTAGAAAGTGTTACAGCCTTGTTGACTCTCTTTTAGATTAAACTACGACTTCCTCATTGACATAAAAAGGATTGAGAGAGAAATTGAAAAGAAAATAACTTTTTCTCTAAATGTTTCACCCTTTCTGAGAGACTTGGTGTTTGGCTCCCTGAAAATGTTATCACACAGGGTGAGCATTCTACAGGCTAAGAAATGCAATGCCACAGTTCAGTGTTCCAATACTTCCCAGGATCCTTTGCTCACCTCTCATCTCCATGTTGAGAAGTTAAGTTTACTTACTTGGTACCCAATGTTTTCTTTCCCCTATAATATCCAAACCCTCAATACAAAGGTAGAGGCTAGTGGGGCTTCTTATGTTATCTGGGAGGATCAGAGTGAAACTGATTCAGAGGCCTAGATGGTGCAATGTTTATTAAAAAAAAGTTGAGAGTGGTTTGATTTGCATGACCACTAGAAAGGAAGGAAAGTGGGAGTGAGAGAAGAAGAGGAGGAAAAGGAGAGAGAGAAGAGAAAGAAGAGGGAGAAAAAAAGGAGGAGGGAGAAGGGAAGGAAAGAGGAGGAAGAGGGAAAAAGTGAGGAGAAAACGAGAAAGAAGAGGAAGGAAAAAAGGAGGAAGAGGAAGGAGATGAGGAGGAATGAAGAGGAGGATGGGGAAAGAGAAGGAGGAGATGAGGAAGGGAAGAAGGAAATGGAGAGATAGGGTACAGTAGATCTATGATGACTTTCCGCAGCCAAAATAGATTTAGATGGGCAGACGGTACAAATGGGCAATAGAAGAAAGTGTCCACACGTAAGACTGGGCTGCCAAAATTGAGAGCAGGGTGTGGTGACTCACACATGCAAATTCCACCACCACTGATGCAGAGACAGTAGGACTGTCAATGTTCAAGGCCTGCCTTGGATACATAAGGAGTTTGGAGCCAACCTGAGCCACAAGTTGAGATGCTGACTTAAAATGAATACAAAGGCTAAGAAGCTATTGTAACTCAAAAGACTTGCAGGCATGAGGGCCTAAGCTTGATCCTCAGAATATATATTCAAAGAGCAGTGTGTGTGGTGGCAGATTTGTAATCCCAATGCTCAGCAAGCAGAGACAGGAGCATCGCTGGGACTTGCTGGCCAGCCGACCTAGCCTACTTACTAAACATCAAGCCAGTGTGTGTGTGGGAGGGGGGAACAAGATATATGACACCTAAGGAATGAAGCCAAGGTTGTTTCCTGGCTTTCACATACATACATTCTCCTACTGGGACCCACCATACTCATAAGGGAGACAATGAGGTATCTAATAGTGTGCTATAGCATGGAGGAGGTTCCCTGGGGGAAATGGATACCTGAGTCAAATGGAAAAAGGAAACATCAATGTATTCTCTTCAGTGTCAAAATGTTCATTTTATTAATTGCAAAGTGGTATTCATTCATTTAAAACACAAATTAGTTTAGGATTCTAAAACCATGGCGCAAATAATTACCTCAAATGCAGCAGCAATTTGTGATGGCAGAGGCAGGCTGGGAGTGGGAAGTGGGTTCCTGGAACTGCACTTAGATCTCAATTAAATAATCCATCACATGGAGTACTTAGATTTATCATCTGACAACACCCTCTTCGATTCCATACTGCATCCTATGGACAATACCCCTGTCAAATCATCGACCCCTCAAACTGCAGACAATTCCTTCTGTACCCTTAATCCTCTAAGGCAACATCATTTTCAATAGAGAGCCCAGCGCTGTGTGAATTCTGAGGACTGTGTCAAAGCCTCCTGGAGACATAAGTATCCATTGCTCTTTATCTAGCACTGACCTACTTCTGGTCATCTTTCGTCATCCAAACAGGATAGGGAAATCTGAAATTCCAATACATTATTTACTAGGATAAACCACTCATTCAGGTCATAGAGAGAAAGCAGTAGGAGAGTTCAGTAAAGCTTGCAACAAAAGTCATTAAAAATTGGTGACAGTGTCTCAGGGGGCCATGGGAGCCTCCAAACTTGCTTGTATCCCTTTGTAGCCAAGGAGGACCTTGAATTTATGACTTTCCTACCTCTACCCCCTGAGTGCTAGAATCATAGGTATGAGACACCACACCTAGTTTATGCCAATCAGGGCTTCATGCATGCCAGGTCAGTGATCTACCAGTGAACTACATACTCAGCCAACAAATGTCTTTGTGTCTCTTTCATGCAAGAATTGCACTAATGGTAGAAGAAATGTGGACCGAGATGAAACATTAACAGAGGCCTGGGTGAGACAGTCTACAAAACATAAGCATAACAAGAAAAGAAAGCTTGGGCCACATGCTCAGCTTCATACATGTGGATTCATTGTTTGTTTGACACAGGATTTAACAAACCAGACAACAAATGCAATCAGAAAGTAGGAAGAATGCTAGGAGCCCTGGTCACCTGGCAATTACAGCTCAACAGAGGGCCTTAGATGTAATTAGCAGTGTACAAAAGCATTAAATTCATTTACTGCATTATTTACTCAAACACTTTGGGATACCATGGTCCCCAAGCCTCCATCTCAAACACTGCTATGTTTTGAAAAGCCACAGATTCCATTAGTTTTCATAGCCATCTAAAAACACAAAGTTATGTCACATGGTCCAGTAAGAATGACAGGTCTCCAGCAGTGGCATCAAAGAGTGGTTAGTTATAACCTTAAACTCTGTTCCCAAATACAAGCATGCTTCCAAAACAAATGGAGTACAGAGGTAAGGAAACCAGGTTTTTCATAAAATTCCACAAAAGCTCATGCAAATAAGGATATCCAACCAAGACACAGTGATGGCAGAATGGTACCACTGAGGAAAATTTCTCCTTTCCCAAAGAAAACTTTCAGGCAATTGATACACTTGAATCTTGGAACTTGCCTTTAAGTAATAGAATAAACTACAAAATTTAGCATTCTGTCTTCATCTCTCTTATACACAAATGACACCAAGATCCAAAGTCTATGGTTAATTCAAATTCTACTTAAAAAAACAATGTGTTGATATAAGCGTTGCTCACTAATCCCAGTCTGTGGCAAAAGTGCATTTTAGTCACTCAGCAAACAGCTGGGAACTCACATTGGGAAGGCAGCAAGGAGTACTCCTGACCTTTGTGATCACTTAGACCTCATGTTGTACATAAAAAAAGTCCAATGATGTCAAACAAATTCCACAAGAGAAGTATTTATCGCCGAATCTAAATCAAAAAATCCATATATACTATAATGGCACTTCAAAAGAAGATCTACTGTATTTACCACCTCAATCAATATGAAATTAGCTGGGATAAATATTGCCAGCTCTTCCCGTCTTGAGATGAAGCCTGTTATTTAGTTTCTAGGTCCAAAGAGACAAGGCCATTTTTGCTTATCACACAGAAATAGGAAGCAGGAAGCCTGTTACTAGCAGGTTGCACCTACCCTCAGCTGCTCTCTTTCACAATTCATCTGTTGCCTCAAAACCTGCAAAAAAGAGAAAAAGGGAGGAATGTCAGAAGGTTCTATAGAAACAGCGGCATAAATGCAAGGGCCTGGGGAGTGGCTCAACAGGACTCCTGCAACCCACATAAATGCTGGCTGTGTGTATCGAGGTGATATGGCGCAGTGGATAAAGTCACTTGCCTTCAAGCCTGGGGACCTGAACTCAGTCCCCAGAAACCACATTGTGAGAGCAAAAGAGCAACCCTGACAAGTGATCTACAGGTGTGTCATAGAATGCCCATATATTCAGATGTGTATGTGCACACACAATAAATCCTACACTACAATAAATTTTTTTAATGAATAAGGTGGAAGATTGAGTTCTGGACCCCAACTTTGTACCTTCACACACACATACATCTCCACACACAGGTGGAACACATAAGCATACATGTACATTGACATACATAAGTATGCTGACTCAAGTTCATCTAAACATATCCCATATACATATGCACAGGAAAAGAAGAGGGGATGCTGGCTCAACTAAGAACCAGAATTCACAGAAATAATTAACTTTTCTCTAGGTTTAGACAATGGACTGTTTACTATCTTTCTACATTGTACAATCCAGAAGTAGGGTTGTGAAGTATCTTTAAGGGAATGGTGTGAAGGTGCAGGAGAGGTTTGGGCATTCTAAGAAGTATGGGTTTCCTTCTTTGTGCATATACCCTTCCAGGCCTGCTTAACAGGTAGGTGCACACGATGTTTTCAGAAAGCTATTTTATGCTGGGTTTGACAAGACAATAACCAATGCAGTGTCTTCCCCAGTGTCAAGTGCTGGCAATATTATCTGCATGCCCTGGAAAACAGATTCCATTTAATTATCTAGTTATTTCTTTATTACTTTTGTTTGTGTGTGATGCTGAGGTCTAGACTCAGTATTTCACATATGTTAAACAAAGGCTTCCCCTCTAAGTTATACCCTCTAAATTATCTTTGCTTTTTATTTTGATACTTGTGTTACCAAGTGGTCCAGCCTAGCCTTGAACACATTACATTGCACAAATGATCCTTCTACCTTAGCTTCCTGAGATACTGGGATAAGAGACAGGGCTTAATGATCCAGCCTAATCAGATGGTAGTAAGACAGAATGTATGGGGATGGTAGTTAGACAGACTGACTGTACAGGGATAGCAGTAAAAAGGACTGTATGGGCATGGTGGTAAGAAGGACAGTATGGTGGGCAATAAGCCAGGTTATATGGGGATGGTAGTAGGAATGACTGTATGGGATGGGGATGGTAGTTAGATAGACTACATGCGGGAGGACTCTGAGACTAGGGCTTATGTCAGAGAAAGAAAGCCTGATCAAAATTTGGTATTCATCATAACTCCAAAGGTGAAGAATGCGTAGTCCCCCTGCCAAGCACTGATGGGTGATGTGTGGCTGACCAATATGCTTTTCTTACCATCCAAGGAGGCTTTACTAGAGTGACCACATGACTTGTTATCCAAACAGACAAAATGGAATTCATTAGTTGGGGGTCAGATAGGTATTTGGATTTAGGTGATTACACAGATGCCAGAGATAGAAAGGAGTACATTCACAGAAACTGGTACATTAACAGAGGAGGATTGATGGATGAACGTACAATGCAGGTAGTCAAAATTAAACTAAGTTTTTCATTATTGACAGGATACATTGTCTCTTTCTCTTTTTATTTTTAAACCACTGTAAAATCTCTTAACTTCTAGCCCTTGACAGGATACTGGAAGTTCCTTGGAACTTTACTGAAGGACGAAAGCTTTAGCAACCAACCCTTGATGTATATTTTATGTGTTTTGTAGTGAAAGTTTTACTTTTTCTAAAATAAAAACAAAAATAAGGATGTTTGCTTAGGGTATACCCAAGCCTGAAATCTCTAGATGGGGTGCTATTGCAGACCCTTTCACATGGAAAATTACCACTGGGAAGATCTCTTTTGATTGTGTTTGCTTTTGTGTCATTGTTGTTGTTAGTTTGAGACAGAGTCTCACATATCCCAGACTAGCCTTGAACTAGTTATGTAGACAAGGATGATTCTGAAGGCTTGATCTCCCCACATCCACCTCTTAGGGATGAGAACACAGCTGTGTACCACCAGGGTCAGTTTCTGTGGTGCTGAGGATCAAATCTAGGCTTTGTGCATTAGTATTAGGCTATCATTCTACCAATGGATGTAGCCAAGTGGTAAAGAGCTTGCCTCTCATGTCAGACCCTGGGCTCAAATCTTGGTACCTTTAAAAAGAAAGACAGACAGACAGAAAGGAGGGAGACTAATTTTTACATAGGTATTAATTAACAATGATATTTATGAGAGATTAAATATATAAATACTATAATGTGCGACAATGGGAAAGATAAACATAAATCACAGAAACTGAACAATAACTTAACACACAGAACTCAGAATCACAGTTGTGAAAAATGGGTATGGGCCACTACAGTGTATAAGAAACAAAGCTACAAACAATGCACAATTGTTATGGTTCCAATTTTCTACCAAAATACAATTTGCCTGATAATTAAAGAGGAAGAAATAGGGATTTTTCCTTATTTTTAAAAGAAAAATGTCCTTATTTAAAAAAGATCTAGAAGTGATTTTCCCAGATTATTCAAAAGTAAAGGGGGTGTGACCAGATAAATAAATAGACAAAGCTCACATTGAACTATACTTGAAATGGGGTCTTTAGATTAGGTCAATATGTCTCTGGAAACCTTTAAGAAGAAAGGGGAAAATAAGCAGGCAGAAGAGATGCATGGTGCAGGAGGACAGGATAGGTGGGAATGAAATGGGCTGATTGCTCTACGGACGTGGGCTTCACACTTACTAGCAAAGAGAGAATAGGAGAAAACATACTGAGGGAAGACCTGCAGCTTCCGAGAAGATGCCTGAATCTGAAATCATCTCCAACCAAGACAGCCCAGAGCTCAGCAATGAATGAACAGGAACAATCAGTCAAGTCCCCAAAGACCTCAGCAGTGAGTACTGATGGACAGACAGACATATCCTAGGAGAAGTTCCTTAGGTTTATCTTGAGGAATCTTAATCCCAGAACATCCTCCCTTGCTTTTTTCTCCCATCATCCCTTCACACTAGAGTCTCCTTCTGGGAATTCTCAGGCTGTGTTGCATCTGAGTTCTGGGAACGCAAGAGGTACCTAATACGCAGCAAAAGGAGTCCATCTTCATGACATGGAAGTCCAGGCTCCTAAGAGGTAGCCTACACTCCCTGTCCTTACTTTCCTTATCCTTCCTTTGTAGTTTGAGTATGAAATGTCCTCTGTAGGCTCATGTGATTGAACGCTTGGTTCCCAGTAGGTGGCGCTATTCTGGAAGACTACAGAGCCTTGGATAGGGGCAATATGGCTGGAGGAAACACATAACTGGGGAGAGCCTGGAGGCTTTCCAGCCTAGCTCCAATTCCTGTTCTTTCTTTCTGTTTCCAGTGTGTGGATGAAATGGTTAGCTGGGTCATGCTGTTCCTTCCGGAACTGTAAGCCCAAATCAATCCTTTCTTCTTTAAATTGCTTTTGTCAGGGTATTTTATTAGAGCAACAGAAAAGGAACAAATATACTGTGTCAACTTCGAGGAGAAAAATGAATGATACAAGGGTCGAATATCCTCATCAGTGGGGAAATGTATAGATCCACAAGATCAAGAAGATTGTTAAGTTCCAAGGAGACAGACTCAAAGAAATTCACCACCACCAACCCCCCCCCCCCAAATCAATGGCAAATTTCTGGAAGTGGGACAGGAGAAATGGCCTCAGTGGGTAAGAATCTACATACAAAACACACAGAGACAGTGGCAGCTTGCCCAGCCCCTGTACAGGTCTAAGGCAGTCGTGGTCTCAGGGATGAGAGAGGAAGTAGATATGGCCCCCATCCCTAACCCAGAACCCAGCTCTGTTGATAACCACTCATAAGAAAGTTTACTTTTCTCCATGAAGTCTCAACGGGTATCGAAACTGCACTTAAGAGTAGGCACCATGTCAAGCAGTAGATATCTAGGAAAAAATTAACTCAATGGCATTTTTGAGGGTTTTGTCTCAAAATGCTTTGTTTAGGCTTTTGGGGTTTTTGTTTTGGGCTTTTTTTTTCTCCCTTACAGATATGTTGCTTATATGTTACAGTCTCCAGTTTTGTTGTTATGGGTTTTTTGTGTGTGCAAATGTATGTGTTTTAGCATCTGTATGTGTTTCTTAAGCTTTTTCTTTAGTTCTGAGCCTTCTTGTTTTTCTTTTAACTAATTTTGTTATCTTTTTAGATGCCTGTTGTATTTTAATGAGACAGAAAGAAAGGATGTGGATGTGGATGGATGGATGGATGGAAAGTGGGAAGGATCTGGGAGGAGTTGAGGGAGAGGGAATAATTATGAGAATATACTGTGTGGAAAAAACTCCCCCCTTGTCTCTCTGTCTCTCTTTCTTTCTCTCATTTACAATGAAAACTAGTCCTTGCTTCACACTCATGAAAACTTGAGCTCAGATCCCTAGCACCCATATAACCTTTGTGTGGCTATGTGTGTATATCATTCTAGCAACACCACTGAGGGAGGCAGGAGGATGGCTGGAGCCTGAGGGGTATGAGGCTAGCTCCAGATTCAGGGAGAGATAATGCCTCCAGGGCATAAGATCACCAGTGATAGAGATAATCCACATCCTCCTCTGGCGTCTGTGTGAGCCTGTATGGGAGTATACACACACATGCACACAGGCACACAGGCACACACACACACACACACACACACACACACACACACACATTTCCTCCTTCCCTCTCTCCCTCACTCCCCTCTCCTCCCTGTTTCTCCCCTCTCCCATTTCTCCCCTCTCCCATTTCTCACACATATCTCCTCCCCTCCCCCCTCTGTCTCTCATATATGCACACATTTCTGTGTGTGTGTGTGTCTCTTTCTGTTTTTTTCTCTCAACACACACACACACACACACAAATTGTTTCTGGGAACTTATCAAAAACCTTTGAAACACACAAG